GCCTGCGGCCACTCACCCGGGCCTCGCCGCCCGCGCCCCAGCACAGGGCGCTCACCGCCTCCTCCCGCCGCGGCTGTCCCGCCGCCGTGAAGTTCGCTGCCTGTTTCCGCTGAAGGTTCACCCCTGCAGGATGAGGGCGTCAGTCGCGCAAGCGTCCGGCACCGACCCCTGCACGTCCACACGCCCGCCCCAGCCCCCACCTTTGAGGATGCCGGTCTCGGTGCCGACCCACACATGGTTCCAACGCGCCGTGGCAGCCGCCATGACGGACCCCGAAGCCCGGGCCAGCACTTCCGGCGCGCCTCGAGCGTCACCGGCGAGCGACGGCCCGCGTCCCCCCCCCCCCGGGGTTTAGGAAGGCGCTTCTGCCCGATCCATCCGGGTTTGCTTTAGGAAAAGGAAATCCGGAGACGCTTGCTTCCGAAGAGCTGAAGAGTCGCTTGCCCGTTCTGTGGTTGCCGTGAAAGGCGCCTGTGCTGAGCGGGCTGTGTCTGAAACGGGCTGGCAGCGCGGCCTTCCCCACCCTGCTTCTGTAACGCCAGATTCACTGAGTAATCATTCTCAGTTTCATTTAGTTTAGTTCACCACGTACTAATTTCACTGGCCAGGCGGAGTCGTTGGCAACCACAGGTTCTTTTAATCCTGATCTTAGTCACTGTGATCACCGAGAGGTGAGATGCCCGGGTTACAGAATGCCGGGAGGTCAGAGACCTTCGGAGAATAACAGCAAGAGCGGAGAGCTGACTCGTCCAGAGTCGCTGCAGGTGGTTAGGATTCCACGGCCAGCGGTCACAGATTGTTTCGGGTACGACAGTGTCAAAACTCAAAGCTAGTTCAACGCAGCAGCGCTGGTTCAAAGCGTTCTCGGGTCCTGTTTTGATTTTTCCTTTGGTCGGTCGTGGGGCTTGAACTCTGGGCCTGGACGCTGTCCCTCAGCTCAAGGCGAGCGCTCTACCACTTCTTGAGTCACTGTGCCACTTCCGGTTTTCTGGTGGTTTACTGGAGATAAGAGTCTCACGGTCTCTCCTGCCCGGGCTGGCTTTGAACCGTGATTCTCAGATCTCAGTCTCCTGAGTAGCTAGGATTACAGGCGTGAGCCACCGGCGCCCGGCTCCTATTTTGTTTTTTATCTTCTTTTTTTTCCTGGTCCTGGGTTTCTTTTGTTCAAAGCCAGCGCTCTACCCCGTGAACCACAGCGCCACTTCCGGTTTTCAGTCGTGAATTGGAGATGAGAGCCTCACGGTGTTTCCTGCCCGGGCTGGCTTTGAACCGCGATCCTCAGATCTCAGCCTGAGTAGCTAGGGTTACAGGCGTGAGCCACCGGCGCCCGCTCCAATTCCTTTTTGACAGTTGGTCTGGCGTATTAAGGACAATTAGCTCATTTGCCTAGCTTTTTCTACTATAGTTTATTATGTAGTTGTTTTTATGCTTGCTAGGCAGGTGTTAAACCTGTTATACCTCCCTCAGCTTCAGACCTGTGCGGCCATGACTTAATTTGCTAAATGCAATTTTAGTATTGCCTCATGGCTTTGTGATGGACTGATGGCTTGCACAAATAAAACGTAGCCATTTTGTGGTAGTGTCTTCACTCAAAGCTGAATCCAATCACTCAGGACAAGGCTTCTTTATCTCCACAGCACCCTTACTTGACCACAAGACTCGTCAAATTTGTGAAGAAAGAGCTCACAAGGCTCATGCTTAGTAAGTCTCTTCTGATGGCTAAGGAAGTTTACTGGGAGAGAGCGAGGGAAAGGGAGAAACTGCCCCAAAAGAAATAAACTCTATACCTGAGCAACGCAACTGTGGCCCGAGTGTGCATCATTTTTATAACGACTGAAAAAAATTGAAAGTGGTAACTTACGAAACAGCACCGGTACTGTGCACCTCAGCAGTCAAGAGACCCAGAACCCACTCCATAGAGGAAAGGGGGAATCGCAAATCTGAATGCTTAATAAAGGAAAACATTTTCACCTACGTACTCCATGGAGATAAGTTTAAAGACAGCACCAACTCACTTAAAAAAAGAAACTTCTGGCTAGACAGCCGGTGACCGACGTATTCAGGAGGCTAAAATCCAAGGATAATACTTGGAAGCCCGTGAAACTCTGATCTTCACTAAACCATTAGAACACCGTAATGATGCTGTGGCTCAAGCAGTATAGCACCCTCGCGGGCCTTGTGTTAAAGAGCGCCAGGACAGCGTTTAAGCTCCACGCCTGGCCGCACCTAAATCTTGTCTAATTAACATCAACGAGCCCTGTTGCTTATCAATAAGCTTTGTTGTAAAAAGACAGCAGTCAACATTTAAAAACAACACATGGTTTTAATTGTAACTAAGCAGAGAAATCTTACTTTTGAACAGGTTATATTTCCCCAAAAGGGGAGTGCACCGTTCCTGGAAGTACTGCAATACCAGGTCGATGCGTGGAGTGGACGGAGCAAGCTCCTATTCCATCTCCTAGTACCAAAAATCCATTTAATATATTGTCCTCGGATAGAGGACGTATCAGATATTAAACTGATAAGAACAGATACTACACTTGATCTTAGCCAAAAGGCCGAGAAGCGATACTTGCATGTTCTCATTCCCGAAGGCCTTATCATTGCTACCCATTTTACAATTGTGGTGACTTACATGCGCCAGAATTCAAATTATTCTCCAATCCTATATGTTCCTTACAGTCATATAAGACTTATCTTTTCTTTGCAATAAAGCTTTCTTTATAGAAAAATCATGAAATATAGCCCTTTTCTATTTGGTGTGCCTGATCAGGGCTTATGTATTTTGCATAGTCCCGCCCCCTTCCCTGCTGTTTGGAATCCTGAGGTTGGTTGCGCTTACTACCGTGATCTCAGTGTCCACAAGCCTCATTTTCTCGCTGCTTGTGGCGTTAGTATCCCATCCTGGAGGGTTTAGGGTTGGGGGAAGAGGGAGATGTAGAACTGTGGTGCCCTGTGGGTTGGTCTCAGAGGGTGGCCTTTAAGATTCTCTCCCCTCTGCATGGGAGAGGGGGGGGGTGGCTCGGAGGACCCCATAGCCTGGCAGCCACTACCTCACCTCCATTCACACACAGACCACACTTGCTGTCTGTGCCATCCCGCACCACAGGAGGGAGATAACCTGAGAAAAATATTTCCGGGTTTCTGGGTCCCTCGAGTAGGGACCAGTGCTGCCAGGAGCGAAGCTTCACCTAATGTTCCATTGACCAGGGACAGGTTTCGCTGGACAGCTCCACACCCCAATACCCTTCTGAGCCACAGCTTCACACTTTTTGATAAAAGAATCTGACGAGGCTGGGAATGTGGTTTAGTGGTACAGTGCTTGCCTCACTTGCATGAAGCCCTTGGTTCGATTCCTTAGTACCACATAAACAAGCTGGGAGTGGCACTGTGGCTCAAGTGGTAGTGCTAGCCTTGGGCAAGAGGTCAGGGACAGTGCCCAGGCAGGCAGCATTCAAGCCCAAGTACTGGCAAACTTGAAAACAAACCTCAAAATAGCTGGGGGCGACGCTCCCGCCGGGCTGGCCACATCCCCTGATCTTCAGGCCGCGGCTCTGGGTGGGGACCCACAGTCTTCTCCACGACTGTCTGCACCCGCAGCCCGGTCCTACAGGGAGATCCACTGCGACATGGCTGCCGCTGGAGCCCAGGCCGGGAGCAGCCCCGCGGGGCCCAGCGGGCTGCGGGGTAGCTTATCACTGAAAATTCAAGAGTCCTGTGGTTTACTTAGTGGGCTCAGCAATGTTCTACATCGACACGTGGAACAGATCATGAATGAATGCTGGCTGCAGCCTCTCTGAGAAGACGTGTGTGGATACACAGCCTGTTCCATCCTCCCCCTGTAAAGGGCCAGCCTGGGCTCGGTGGACACAGGCAAGACGCCATGACCAGCTGGAACAGCCTCTTCAAGAACCCTCCTGAGTCACTTTCCCCACTGAGTTTACAAGGGACATCTTGGCTGTTCCAAGCACAGGTGACCCAAGCGCTGGAATCCTGCATCAGCAGCAAAGAGGCTCACCAGCTTCAGAACGTCATACCTCTGTTTCATGTCCTAATTTCCCCACTGGTCCCAGGAGGTGGAGAGCTGAGGCTGAGGATGCCAGACAGATGCAAGTGACCACCTGGCCATGACTACCACTTGTGAAGGGCCTTGCTTTCCATAAAACCCTTTGCGTGAACTTGGGGGAGGCACTGTGGTCTGGAGAGCGTGTGGAAAGAGTGGAACACTTGTGTGATATTTCTCTAGTGTGCCTCTGACACATCACTGCAGACTGGGTGGTTTAGAGATCTGTGTTCACAGCTCTGAAGTCCAGCAACATGGAATCAGTGTCTTCTGGGTCACATTCCCTCAGGAGGTACAAGGCACAGTGAGCTCTAGGTCTTCTCTCAGCTTCTAAACCTGTGAGAGCAGAGTGAAGTCTCTACAGAGGATCATCCCTTGGTGCATTTCCGGGACCCAATTCCCCCCTTTTAGGGGCACAATAACAACCGGAATTGGCGTTGCTCTCTTGCCAAGAGCCCATTTCCATGTAAGGTCACATTCTGGGTGATGAGAGCGTCCACATATGAAATTTGGGAACACAACCCATTACAATGTTCCTGCCTCTGGGCTGGGAAGGTGGCTCAGTGGTAGAGCGCTTGCCTTGCATGCATGAGGCCCTGGGTTCAATTCCTCAGCACCACATAAGAAAAAAGCAAAAAGCTAGAAGTGGCGCTGTGGCTCAAGTGGTAGAGTGCTTGCCTTGAGCTGAAGAGCTGAGGGACAGCACAGTGTACAGGCCGAGTTCAGGCCCCACGACCAGAACAAAAACAATGTTCCTGCCTCTGCCCACAGCCTCTACCTCCCTATTGGTCTTGTGGCTTCTCTGGGGCCCTATCTCCTTCCTGGCACCCAGCAGATCACTGCTGGCCCTGACTGCTGGCCCTGAGCTAACACTGAGAATTCAGTGAGAGCTGGTATAGGGGTGAAGGGTCTCCTAGACTGTTATGGTCCCAGACTGTGTGAGGAAAATTAAGCCGAGAAAGTGATCCTTTACTAAAAACAAAGAGAGGCCATAAAGAGAGACTTTAAAACATTTCACATGGACTTCAGCCCTATCTCATACCCTGCCCAATTAGAATGGCGCCTGCTGTGTGATGTTGTGCATCCCTCCCTGTGATCGATTGCCTCCTGCTTCAAGGGAGTCGATGCCTCACTGTGCACATTGTGTATCCTCCTGTAGCTATCTTTGTAATAAAGCTTCTGTAGCTGTCTTTATTTTTTAATTTTTTGGGGGGGTCCGGTCGTGGGGCCTGAACTCTGGGCCTGGGCACTGTCCCTCAGCTCTTCAGCTTAAGGCTAGTGCTCTACCACTTGAGCCACAGCGCCACTTCCGGCTTTTTTTTTTTTCTTATGTGGTGCTGAGGAATGGAACCCAGGGCATCAGGCATGCAAGGCAAGCACTCTACCACTAAGCCACCTTCCCAGCCCCCTGTAGCTATCTTTGTAACAACCCCTAGCTTCAAGGATGCAGGGACATATGACATTGTTTCTGGAATATACACACCCCAAGAGTAGGAATATTCCGGCTGTGTATAGCACAAGGACAGCAAAGATGGCGCTGAGGGAGTTGAGTGGGCAGAGCCCAATTTGCTTAACGTTCAATATGTAACCAGCCCATGGAAGCTTAGGTGCATGATAGGGTGTGACCTTGACAGTGATTCACTGCTCTTCCTCCCCTGCCATGCTACCCGATCTTTTTTGCTTTAAAAAGGGCTGCTCTGTGTTGTTTCTTCCTGCTTGAAAAAAAAAAAAATAGGGGCTGGGAAGGTGGCTCAGTGGTAGAGCGCTTGCCTTGTATGCCTAAGGCCCTGGGTTCGATTCCTCAGCACCACATATTCAAAATGAAAAAATCCGGAAGTGGCGCTGTGGCTCAAGTGGTAGAGCGCTCGCCTTGAGCTGAAGAGCTGAGGGACAGGGCACAGGCCGAGTTCAGGCCCCATGACCGGACTCAAAAAAAAGCTGGGGACCAAAGGCTTGCACCTGTAATCTTACATTTAGGTGAGATCAGAAGAGGGAGGCTTGAAACCAACTTGGGCAGGGAAACCCAGAATATACCCCCAGAACAAAAGCTGGAGCTGTGACTAGAGCGGTAGTGTGAAAGGAAAACAGCACCAAGCCCCCAGATCTGAATTTGGCTGGCTTTTATTTTGGGGGGTCCGGTTGTGGGGCCTGGGCACTGTCCCTCAGCTCTAGGCTAGCACTCTACCACTTGAGCCACAGGGCCACTTCCGGCTTTTTTTTACTTATGTGCTGAGGAATCGACCCCAGAGACTCATGCATACAAGGCAAGTGCTCTTCCACTGAGCCATCTTCCCAGCCCCTTGGCTCGCTTCTGAATTAGCAGTTTTTCACCTGGGATGCACCTTTACCAGCCTTTGCACATGTCAACCATTAAGACTGAGGTTGTCATTCCCCCATTTGTTTCCATTTCGATGTAGAAAACCTATTTCCTTCAATCGTTGTTAATCTACCGTCCTGTCATAGATCTTGAACTCTCAGCCTGGGCACTGAGCATTTCAGCTCAAGGGAAGTACTCTACCACTTGAGCAGGTGCCACTTCATTTTCTGGTTTATTTATTGAAGACCAGTCTGACTTTGCTACCCAGGCTGGCTTTAAACCAGTCTTCAGGTCTCAGTCTCCTGAGTAGTAGCTAGTAGCCTTATTTGTGTGTCTAAACTAGCTCTAAAGGTCAAGTTCCTAACAGACTCTGGACTGTGTGAAACAGAACCACAAAAAAGCAAATCACAATAGAAATGCAACTTTATTAAGGAAATGAGAATGAAGCAAGTTGAAACTGGATTAGAAAACAGTCTGAAATTTTCCTTTAGTATTCTCCAAAGCTTGAGGCTCCTACAGAGAAAAGATAAGTGTCAGAAAAGCACTCTGTTCTAAACATTGAGAAACCCAAATAAACCCAAACAGTAAAAATTTACCTATTCGCATGGTCTCATCCTTCAGATCTGGGGAAAAAAAAACATGTCTTAGTACCATTTCGTTTTTATTACTTCCTCTTGTAGGAGGTCTTGATATCCCTCAGACAGTTCCTTCTGGAACAATTTTCCTCTCTTCCCCCAGCCAGCCCCAGTGGGTTCACCTTTACAGGCTCTGAGGCGAGGACAGGAAGTAAGACATGTGCGTATTTCTTCATTGGGAAATCTTAATTGTCATACCTCATAGAAGTAAATTTACTTACCAATGATAGCAACCTTCAGTTGAGCAGGAAACATGTTTAACTCCCCTGTAAAGGCAGATATTGGAAGCTTATTTTTGTGGTTGAGGGGGGAAAGGGCAATTTGCTTAGGATGCTTCAACAGATTTTTCTAGGTCATGGGGCTTGAACTCTGGGTCTAGGTGCTGTCCCTCAGGTTTTCAGCTCAAGGCAAGCACTCTAGTACTTGAGCCAGAGCTACCACTTATGGTTCCTTGCGTGGGCTGCCTTTAAACCAAGATCCTCAGCCTGAGTAGCTAGGATTGTAGGTGTGAACTATAAACACCCAGCTTCAACAATCGAGCCTGTTTTTTTACTCCAATCGCAAAGGTAAGCTCACAACTCAGAATATACCTTTCAGTCACAGTGATCAGACTGGGGCGGTATTCAACTCATCACTGTGAGCAGGAACCTATCAGCATTTGCTCAGCATGTGGCTCTTCACAATCACAGGCATGGTAACTATAAATACTCTAAAGACATACCTCATCATTCCCAGCCTCCGCGTAAATCCGGTTCTAAAACAAAAAAAGACTTAAATCAATAAATACAGAACATATTCGATTGTATACTTACAATCCTCCCCAGAATATCAGATTTCCAAGTCTCAACAGCAAGGCATCAGCCGAACGAGATTCCATTAAGGAAGTCATCATGCACAGGCCTGAAAAGGCCCTATTCTGCCTAATGAGGCAAATGTACACATACTGACAGTCACTCACCTTGAAATCAGCAGTCATCTCTGGCAAACAACCTGGAAAAAGACAAACTCATGTGTAAAAGTCCTTTTGTACATGGCTCCCCTATCTCATCTTTTGTTTCTCAGGTGTTCATGTGTTTTCATTAGCAGTCATAGTGAGCTAGTTTGATTCATCATAGAAACTGGGTAATTTACTTGATGGGGAAAAAGAACCAAACTTACCTCTATTACCAGAGGCATCTGGATTGTTCTATCTTATACAGGAACAAGATGAAGCTCCTAAATAAAAGAAAAAATATCAGCAAGCCCTACCTCAAACAAAACCTTTCTTAGCTACCACTGGAAATAGATTGGGAAAGTATGCAGGGTCTTTGCTGTGTTTCAGTTTTAACAGCTGACAGGGATTTGCTATCATCCAGTTACTCCCTGCATAAAGGGTCCATATAAATTTTCACAGCACAACATACCTTAAGATGGAGAAAATTATCACAAAGACCTGGAAAAAGAGAAACAGGTTGCTTCCATGTTTGAGACGGAATAAATTTCTTCATCAGTAACCACTGCCATCAGAACTCTAACATGCTATTTAATTGTTGTGCCTCACTGAGGATCAGCCTGTTAATTCAAATCATCTGACAGTTATGTGGACCAAGCAGATTTTCTAAGAACTGAACCATAGTTAGGGTTTCAATTTCCCCCAGTCTTCACTCAAGGGAGTAAGAAGCAAAAAGGAAACTGCTTCTACTGTTCTCTCCCCTCATGATGTCTGTAAAGATAACCCAGGGCCATTTCTTGAGAATTACCTGTATTCATCCTGGAAGACACAGGAACACTTCAGGATAGGTAACCAGATGCTGCAGACAGATAAGGGAGCCAAGGTTGGTAATTGGTAGCCTTTTAAGTAACACCTCTGTACCACCGAGCCCTTTTTCTCAGTAGTAAGATGACATCACTTAAAACTCAGCCATATGCTTGTCATTTTACATTCATCACAGAATGGCCATCTAGAAAACGCCCCCCTCCCCACCCTATCTACTACTCACCTGAAGCATTACTGCACTGATGGGACTGTATGGTGGCCCTTGTCTCATCCTAGCCAGCTCCTTTAAGCAGGACCACACCTGAAAAATACAAGCCGCATTCCGTTACCCTGTTGGGTCAATTAAATCAGCCTTCACAGATGACGTTTTTGGTCAATAGTGCTACTCAGGATATCTTCGTCCTTTCTCCACCGAGCCATCAGAAAGAGAGAGTTCAACTAAAAAAAATCATCAACGTAGCACATGCCCTAGGAAACTCTACAGAAATTCTGCATTCAACGAAAAAAACGTTCAGCATATCGACACGTACTTACTATGAGAACACTGCCCGGTTCCTTGTGCGTTCAGATGCCTCAACCCTGCAAAAGACACTTTTATCTTAGCACCATTTCCAAGTCTCAACAAGGCAGTGAGGGGCACGTGTTGGGTAGGGGCCGTCTCCTCAGAGTTCAGTTTCCTCACGGAGCTCAGTACAGGTCTGTGAAGTGTTCTCATCACAGAGAGGCCCCATGTGCGGCCCGCCGCCGCCGTGGCGTCCTCTTCTCGCACCCCCGCTGAGGCTGCCGGTTTAATGCCCCGGCCTCCTAGCAGGTACAGGTACTAAAGACCGGCGCGGGCGACTCGCGCCTGTAACCCTAGCTGTTCAGGAAGGCGAGGTCTGAGGGTCGTTTCCTAAGTCTTCAGACACTAACCTCCAACTGACCATCCAAAAGCCCGTAGCGGGGCTGTGCCAGCCCTGAGCGGAAAACCGAGGGTGCTGGGCCCAGGTTCTGAGGACAAGCTCCAGAACCAGCGCACAGACACAGGAAAAGATCTCACGCAGAAAACAAAGGCCAACGAGGAAAACCCAGTTACCGAGAGCAAGCTACCAGCCACACTCACCGAGATCAGCGAAAAACGAGACCGAGGGCCGCGAAGGGAGAACCTTAAATAGTGTTCCGCAGAGGCTCACGGGACTTGAGGGCGGGACTGTGGCGGGCGCACGCGCATCTGGAATTGACTGAGGCTGCCGCGGGAATTGTGGGTCAGCAATTCCAGCCAGGACCGGTGAGGGGAGTTCCGCCCCTTCACTTGCGGCGCCAAAGTGGCGTGCTTGCGTCTTAGGGAGTGCGCAGGCGCGCTGCCCACGGCGATGCGGCAGGACGTCGTCCACCCGGTGCAGTTAACACGGCCGCCCTGCGCCTCCGGGTTCGCGCTCGCCCAGAGCCCACCGCCACGTTTGCCAACCCTTAATCCCGTCCCGGTCTCCCCTTGCCCTTAACTGATACACACTCAGCCTGTGCGCTATGGATCCCCAGCCGCCTGAGGCCTCGGCCGGCGTCGTCTCGGTTCCACACCTGCCGCCTGGCGCACATTCGGGGCCTGATGCCCAGGCTCTCAACGCAGGGGGCGACTCAGGTACGGGGGCCCCGGGCCGAGCTCGGGGGGAGGTCCCCTCTGCATGGAGTCCCACGGGGAACGTAAAATACTCCCCGTAATCCGCAAAGCCGTCCGGTGTTTTCCCGTCTGGCCACCCGCGTCTTGCTGTCGGGTGCCATTTTTCTAGGCCTGTAGTAAGGCCCAAGTCACTTGACATTTATAAAGCCTGTATGTTACTGTGCTCTTCTACTGAGATAGGCCCCCTAACCAGGAGCACCATTTTAAACCACAGTTCATTTGCTTTAATCCTCAAATCTTGCCCAAGAAGTAGGGACAGTGACAACTCTATAGATGAGAGTTTAGGAATAAAGAACTCCCTAGGGACTGGGAATGTGGCTTAGTGGTAGAATGCAAGCCTGGCATACATGAAGCCCTGGGTTCGATTCCTCAGTACCACATAAACAGAAGAAAAAAAAAAAGCTGAAAGTGGGTGCTGTGGCTCAACTGATAGAGTGCTAGGCTTGAGCAAAAGAACCTCAGGGACAGTACCCAGGCTCTGAGTTCAAGCCCCAGAACTGGCAAAAAAATAAAGAACTCCCTGAGTGGTTCAGTGGTAGAGTGCCTGCCTACCCTGCATGAAGCCCTAGGTTCCATTCCTCAGTACCACATAAACAGCAAAAGCCGAAGTGGTGCTGTGGCTCAAGTAGTAGAGCACGAGCCTTGAGCACTGAAAGGCTCAGGGACAGAGCCCAGGCCCTGAGTTCAAGCCCCAGGACCAGCAAAAACAAAACAACCCCCCCCCAAAAAAAAAAAATTCCTTTAGAGCTTTTTACTGTTCTTTAGGTGATTGGCTGAGGTTACAGCTACTGAAAAACTCTTTAATCAGCCAGGCACCTATTGCTCGCACTTGTGATCCTAGATATTCAGGAGGCTGCGATCTGAGGATCTCTGTTCAAAGCCAGCCAGAGCAGGAAAGTCTGGGAGACTCTTATCTCCAATTAACCACCAGAAAACCAGAAGTAGTGCTGTGGCTCAAGTGGTAGAGCACTAGCCTTGAGCTGAAGAGCTGAGGGACAACACCCAGGCCCAGAGTTCAAGCCCCATGATGGACAAAATAAAACAACAACAAAAACATCTGCACCTGCAGGGTCTAATGGTACTGCTTACCTTAGGAGGAAGGTTTTAAGGTGATTATGTGTTCAGAGAGGAACCTGGGGACGTTGAGTAATTTGCTGTTACCTATATATAGCTGATTCCAGGTTTGGAGCCCAACCAGGCAAATTGGGAGCGTATACAAATTTGGGAGTTTGTACTGACAGCCACTATACTGCTTCTCTTCTCCAGGTTGCTGGGGAGTAAGCAAGTATACGGGAAACAAATGAAACAGTCTTAGTCCTTGCATAGTATTTCTCAATTTTTTTCATTGGTACTCTGTCTCGTGCACCAAACTAAAAAGGACATTTCCTTATAGTGTGTGTGTGTGTGTGTGTGTGTGTGTGTGTGTATGTGTATGTGTGTATGTGTATATGTGTATTCGGGCTTCAGTTCAGGGTTTGGGCATTGTCCCTTAGTTTGTTTTTTTTTGGTCGGTCATAGGACTTGAACTCTGGGTTTGGGCTCTGTCCCTCAGCTCTACCGCTTGAGCCACAGTGCCACTTCCGGTTTTCTAGTGGTTTATTGGAGATAAGAGTCTCACAGATATTTCTGCCCGGGCTGTCTTTGAACTTCGATCCTCAAATCTCAGCCTCCTGAGTAGCTAGGATTACAGGCGTGAGCCACTGGCGCTTGGCTTGTCCCTTAGCTTTTTAACTCAAAGTTGGCACTCTACCAATTGATCCACAGCTCCACTTCTGGCTTTTTGGTGGTAATTGGAGATAAGAAGCTCATAGATTTTCCTGCCTGGGCTGGCTTGGAGCCCTGATCCTTAGTTCTTAGTTTCCAAAGTGGCTTGTACAAGGGTGTGTGTGTGTGTCTGTGTCTGTGTGTGTCAGTGTGTGTGTCTTTTGTACACAGGTGTGTGTGTGTGCAGATCTGAGGACTGAATACAGGGTCTTGTTAGGCAAATGTTCTTCCCCTGAACTAAATCCTCAACCCCATGTTTTCATTGTAACATTTATATATATATACACACACACACAATGTACCCGATCAACCTTACTCCCTCTGTCACTCTCCCTTTCTCCTTAAAACAATTTCAACAGATTTAATTTTTCTTTTTTTTTTCAGATTTAATTTTTCTATTTTCATACAAACACACAAAGTACTTAAACCATGTTCACCATCACCCATGAAATTTTAATGCTAATATGCCATATATCTATGTATGCAATTAGCCAGAAACCTTTTTGGTATTCCTTAGCTAGTTTTCACTCCTTTGGAGCAAGTAATGTTCCCAAACATGCCCCAGGATAGCTTAATAAGTAACGCTGTACACAAATACCAAGAAATTTTCAGTTTGAATTAAGTTATGGAGTAGAATAAATCCATTTATTCAATATCTATGAAGTGTTTATTCTGTGCATGATACAACCTGGGGGAGGGGAGAGATGAGTCACTCTGTTCTCAAGGGAATTTTGGTCTGGTAAGAGAACTAAAATGTGCAAATATGTATCCAAATAGCCTAAGTAAGCATGTGATTGAAAAGTTGTAGTCACTGGGGCACTGGTGTCTTTTTTTTTTTTCAGGTAAGGGGTAGGTTTATTCAGTAGACCTGCTGGGACCAGGCAAGGTTGGCACTCCACATGGCTGGGAAAGGCCTGGGAATGAGAGAGAGCTGGGAAGAGAGGAAAGAGAGAAAAGAGCCAGAAAAGAGCAGAGAGAGGGGGTAAGAACAGTAGCACTCACGTGGTATTCAGGTAAGGGGTAGACCTGCTGGGACCAGGCAAGGTTGGCACTCCA